CCCGCGCCTTGCGGCGCTCCTTCGCGATGCTGCTCTCGGCCTGCAGGCGGTCCGCCACCCACTTGGTGAGCTCAGGGCTGACCATGATGCCGCGCGTCGAGCCCATGTCGGTGAAGAAATACCCTTCGTCTTGATGGAGCCCGCCTCCGCAACGCTGCGACAAGATCTTGTCCTTGTACTTCTCCTCGCACAGCTGGAGCCGGCGGGCGACCAGTTCTCCACGCGCCAGGTTGGCGCCGTCGAGCTGGTCGTAGGTGCACATAGTCTGCCTGAGCTTGCTGAATTCCGCGTGCATGTGGACGATCGGATCGTCGGGCCCGACCGAGGCCCCCAGCGACGCCTTCCACGCGACGTGGTGGCCCATCGGGATCCCTCCATGCTCCATCTGGTACTCCGCCACCCACTGGAAAGTGCGAGGCCCTGGAACTGGCCAATCAGGAAAGCTTGTAGATCGGTTGCTCTGAACAGCTTCTCGAAACTCTCGATAGCGCAATCCCTGACGATCATACCGCACAGCCAATGTGCGCAAATCATCTGCGCCTCGCTCACCAGCGGTCGCGGCCTCAGCGCCGCCGCCGTCGGCAGCCCCGGGAGCCCCCCCAAGCGCGGCGGCGAGCCCCGCCAGGCCGCCAGCGGCGGGCGCGGGCGCCGCTGCCGCCGGGGCGCCGCCCCCCGCTCCGACCAAGGCTCCGGTTGGGGCCGCGGCCGCGGCGCCGCCGGCGGGGGCTCCCCCACCCAGGGCGCCCGCGGCGCCGTGCCCGGCACGGGCGGGCAGGGCAAGGGGCGCAGCGCCGGCGGCGGCTCCGCCCCCGCCGAGGGCGGCGGGCAGGCCAGCGGCCACGCCGGCACCCAGCAGCCCGGCAGCTGCCCCGCCGCCCGCGCCGCCGTCGCCCGCCCCGCCGGCAGGAACCACGCCCAGCCGGTAGAAGTGCTCGCCCTCGAAGCTGGCCATGGCCACCTGCGCCTCCTGAGCGACTCCGACCATCTGGAGCGCGGTCGGGAGGTTGGCAAGGTCGTAGTGGCCTCGTCCACCTGGCGCTGCCACCGCCAGGGCCCCAACGCCACGGGGCTGCTTGAGGTAGTACCCGCGAAGGTCGTGGTTCGCTGGCGTGAACTCCTCGACATACACGTCCATGTCAGGGGTGAGCACCGAGAAGGCACCAGGGATGCGAGCGGAGGCCACCAGCAGAAGCCGAGCATGAAGCAGTGGAGGATCAACATCGTACTCCACCCAGATCTCGTCCCCGACATTCATCGATACTGGCCGCCTCCCCTCGGCACCCGCGGGTCAGGCGTGCCCGGGGCCGCCAAGCCCTGCTTCGACGGCGGCAGGGCCGCCGGACGGGGCGCACCCGAGCAGGCCCGGCGGGCCCAGCCCAGGCAGCCGCGGAAGAACTCGAGGGCGAGGAGCACCGCGGCCCCCACCACGAGCTCCAGGGCCGCGCGCCACCAGCCTGGCGACGCCGAAGCCCCGGCCCCGCACTCGCAGCGGCACTCGGGGCAGGGGCTCGGGCACGCAGGCGCCCGCGAGGCCAGGCAGTCGCCCAGCGTCTCCTGCAGCGTGCCTAGCACCTGCTGGAGGTCCCGCGACGCCGCGGCGCCGCTGTCCACCCCCGCAGGCGCGGGGCTGGTCACAGGCGCCTCCTCCGGCGCCAGGGGGGCGGGCTGCGCCGCGAAGTGCGCCAGGAACACCCCGGCGAAATGCGCGATGCCTAGCCCGGTCAGCGCGCGGGGGCTCCGGATCTGGAGACCTCGCGAGAGAACTGAGCCAGACAGTTTCGGAGGATAAACCCTCGCGGCACTCAATCGCTAATGAGATGACAAGTGAGACAAGACCATCATCATCATCATCATCATCATCATCATCATCATCATCATCATCATCATCATCATCATCATCATCATCATCACCATCATCATCACCATCATCAGCAAAATCAACATGCTCGTTTTGCCACTTGGCGGAGAACAACATTCCGTCGCGAGACGGGCCCTGAGATTCGCCGCTGAATCGATGAGATGAGCGAGCTCAACTACGGGGCCGCTCGCGGACACAACTCGACTTGCAGAAATCTGCACCGCGCCCCCTATCAAAATGTAAGGGCGGCGCGAGCGGGTGCTCAACGCCTCGCAACGGGGCCCGCGCTGGGCCCGAAGCCGCTCGGGTGCAAGCATTGTTCGGGGGACGTGGTCTATGGGGTAATTCTGGCCCATATCCTGGAACGCGGTCGATTCTGAATCCCTGAGGACATGGCCTATGAGATAATCCTGGCCCGTGTCCTGGAACGCGGTCTATTCTGAACCCCTGAAGCACTGATCTTGGAATGCGGTCCATAGGCGGATCTCTGAGGCCCCTGAAACCTGGATATCAGTTGAATCGACACAACAGCGCGAGCCCGAGGTCGTCAGGCAGAGCAAGAAAGAAGTGAACAACATCAAGAAGGGGTGCGAGTCGGTCGCCGGCATCAGCGGCTCCTCGATTACGGTCGCGGCTAAGGGGTTGGACGCGCTCAAAAAGGTGAGCGACGGCGTCAAGGATACCTGGCCTCGACGGGAATTCATTCCTCCTTCTCCACCTTCTCGATCCCTCCCTCCCCCACCTCACCTGCCTCGCCCTGCGCCCCCGGCGCCTCCTCGCTGTCCTTCTCCTCCGCCCCCCACCCCCCTCGTTGGGCCAAGTCTCACCGCCCCCTGTTTGGGCCACAATGCGATGGCAGAAAAAGAAAACAAGGGGCCCAGAGTCAGGACACGGGGTTTCCTCGGCCCATGCAGTTCGTGGATTCCTCTATCTATGATTTTTAGGAAGATGGGGGGGGCTCACATCCCGAGAGGACAGCAGCGGCGCGCTCATCCAGGCCATTCGCATCGCGAAGAGAGCGCCGTCAGGATACAGCGAGAAGGACATCAATGCTGCGAAGAAGGCCATGCGTTCAAAATCCCACCAGCCCTCTGGGCGTAGGTGGTTTAAGGAGTTTCCTATTCCACCCCTCCTTCTTCCCCTTCGGGGGGGGGGGATTTACCCCTCCCCCTACCCCCTCCCCATGGACCTGGGCGGGGGGGTTCGCGAGTCGTCGGAGCGCCCAAAACGGCCTCGGCGAGGAAGCCAAAATCATTGGTTGTACTACGGTTTTGGCCCCATTTTGGCCCCTCTTTTGTTTTTTTATGGGGGGGGAACGCTAATTAACGCCCCCCTCTCGTTTGATCGACCTCCTCCAAGACGGCCCCAAGAAGCGCCCAGGAGGCCCCAAGAAGTCCCAAGATGGCCCCAAGATGGCCCCAAGATGGCCGCACGATTGCGCCCCCGCGAACGCCACCCGCGCGGCCTCGGCCACAGCCCCGCGCGCTAGCTCCCGCAGCACGCCGGGCCCAGCCGCCGCCAACAAGGCCGCAAGGGCCTCGTGAAGCTTGAGACCAACGGTGGCGGTATATACTGCAGAGGCGAGGCCTCTGCGCAGACACGACAGGCCGAGGCTGGAAGAGCATTCACGTAGCCCCCACAAACATCATGGTCATCAGCAGCAGCAGCATCATCACCACCATCATCACCAAAACAATGATTACCACTATCACCACCTCCACCACCACCACCACCACCATTGTCCTCATGATCATCATCAGCATAATCATCCTCATCAGTATCAGCATCATCATCACCATCACCATCACCATCACCATCGCACCATCATCACCATCATCATCATCATCATCATCATCATCATCATCATCATCATCAGCATCAGCATCAGCATCAGCATCAGCATCATCATCATCATCATCAACATCAGCATCAGCATCAGCATCAGCATCATCATCATCACAATCATCATTATCATCATCATCACAATCATCAGCATCATCACAATAATCATCATCCTCATCATCATCATCATCATCATCATCATCATCATCATCATCATCATCATGCTCGTGCTCGTCCTCGCCCTCATCACCATCATCAGCGTCATCCTCATGCTCATCCTCACTCGTATTATCATCATCATCATCATCATCATCATCATCAGCAGCAGCAGCAGCAGCAACACCACCATCATCGGCAGCAGTATCATCACCGTTATCACCGTTTGCAGCATCATCACCACCAGTATCATCGTCAACAACATCACCATCATCAACAACTGGGGATACCACAAGCTACCGATACCGCTACTCCTTAGACCTCCCCCGAGGTGCGTTCTGACCAGGATTTCGAGGCGAATCCAGAGTTGGCGACGAGGGGTCCTTGGGAGGCCCCAACAGGCGACAACGATGCAAGGTTAGCGGTATCGGTACCGTTCCCTCCTCTGAACAAGAACGCCACCACCATCACCACCATCATCATCGTCATCACCATCACCACTATCACCACCGTGATCATCGCCATCACCACCATCACCACTACAACAATCATCATCATCCTCATCACCATCATCATCATGATCACCATCATCAGCATCATCATCATCGTCATCATCAGCATCATCAGCATTAACATCAGCATCAGCATTATCATCATTCACCATCATCATCATCATCATCAGCAGCAGCAGCATCATCATCGCCACCATCACCACCACCATCACCACCACCACCATCACCACCATGATCATCGTCATCACCACCATCATGATCGTCAGCACCACCAGCACCACCAGCACCACCAGCATCACTAGGGCGGCATCTTGGCGGCCGCCGCGGTGGCGCTGGCAGGGGCGGCGCGCCGCTCGGCGCGGGCTCTCCTCCTCCTCCTCCTCCTCCTCCTCCTCCTCCTCCTCCTCCTCCTACTTCTCCGCCCCCACCTCCTCCGCCCCCACCTCCTCCCGCAGACTCGTTTGTCCATGCTGGCGGCAAGAAGAAACACCATCATCGCCATCACCAGCATCAAAATTCGACTGGCCCTCCTCCGACCTGCCGACGCCCGGCTACCGGCGCACACGCCCATTTTGCCGTCGCGCCCCCTGCGGGCGCGCGGCGGCGTCGGTCCCCCCGGCTCGTCCCGCGGCCTCTCCGGGCCCTGCTGTCCGCCGAGCAGCCTCTGCAGGTCCTCTTTCCGGAGGGGGGGAGGGGGGATGGTGGGAGGGAGGGATAAGGGCCCAGAGGTAGGGTGGGAGGGAGGGGGGAGGGGGAGAGGAGGAGGAGGAGGAGGAGGAGGAGGAGGAGGAGGAGGAGGAGGAGGAGGAGGAGGAGGGCCATCGGGGGCCCGAACCGCCGCCGCCCTCCTGCGGCCCTCCGGGGCCACAGGGCTGGCGGCTTCGCGGGCCGGCCCCAGGCGCGCGCGTGCGTTCGCAGGACCTGCCGACCGCGCCGCGATGGAGCCTCGTCATGTGGCACGCAGCACGCTCATGGTGCCTCGCTCGGCACGCAGAGCGTGGAGCCTGTGCAGCAGCAGCAGCAGCAGCAGCAGCAGCAGCAGCAGCAACAGCAGAAGAACCCCTGGGCTCAACAGGTCCGCCTCGCGCGGAAAGCGCGCCAGGTGGCGGCGCAGCGGGCAGCGAGCCATCAATTGCAGTCTCAACGTCAACTCATCTCCGATCTGCAGTGCCAATTGCGAGCGTGGCACCAGTGGTGGCAACAAGCGCATCATGAGCCTTTTTGGGGACAGCGCTGGATGCCAGACGACATCAGCTTCAGCGCCGAAGCGGACGACCCCCGCGGGAAAGGGGGGGCGTCGCCCCAGGCAGCTGGCGGAAGCAACGGCAGTGGCAGCAGCGGTCAAGAATCAAGAAACAATGGCAGGGGACGGCAGTGGCAGCAGCAGTCCAGAGTCAAGAATCAAGGAAGCAACGGCAGTGGCAGCAGCGGTCAAGAGTCAACACTCCAAGTGGATTCAGCCATGCGCGAGAGAAAGGAAGGCGAAGATAGAGCCCGACGCGATCATCTACGGTTCAGGGATCAGGGCAAGCTTGAGGCGACCTCGGGAATTGGCGCTAGGAAGGGAGTACAGTCGTCATCAGCTGCAGGCGCGGCCGCCCGTGCGCGTGATGTGGCGCCAGCACCAGCGCCAGCGAAGCTGGAGGGCGATGACACAGGCCATCTGGAGGACAGAGCCCAGACGCCATAGCAAACACATCATTGTGAGAAGCAGGCGGCGAGGATGGAGCCCCTCACCAATAACCTAGCCGAGGACCCAGCCAACACGTGCGAGACGAAGGAAGGCGAAGATAGAGCCAGATGTGATCATCTACGATTCAGGGGTCAGGGCAAATGCGAAGCGAGGGGCACGGCAGCGGCAGCGGCAGCGGGCAAGAGCGGCAACATCACTACGCCATCAGTTACAGGCGCTGTGCGAGAAGAGACGGCAGTGGAAGAGGACTTGCTTCGGGCCGTGCGAGAGCACACCATATCAATACCCATCGAGGGCTATGATGACAACTTCCCTTGGGAACACTATATCAGCGGCGACGACAGGCAGTTCCTAAACTTCGTGCAAGAACATACAGGGGTGACCCTGCAGCTGAACAGTCACCCGTGCGTAGGCTGTGAGCTGGTCATCGCAGCGACGGCTGGGACAAGCAACGCGGACTTCGAAAGGGTCCTAGAGATGAGCCACGACCTCGTCGACCGCACCTACCAGGAGGCCGCCGGTTGGGCCGGCCACCTGGAGCGGCCCCAGGACCACTCTCACGGGGAGGACTCCGACGGCCGACTCGACGACAGCGACCCAGCGAGCCAGAACGACACAGAGAGCAACGCCACGGACAGCGAGTACGACGGCGAGACCACGTACACCGAGAACCACGACACCCCTGCAGGGCGAGGGGGTAGGCCCTACGACACCCCTGCAGGGCGAGGTGGTAGGCCCTACGACGACCCGCCCAGACCAGAAGGAGGACGGCCCACTTGGCGGCCAAGCCTCCGCCCCGCTCCGACGGGTACCAGCAGCACGCCTACGGGAACCAGCAGCACACCTACGGGAACCAGCAGCACAACAACGGGCACCAGCAAAGCATCGGGCACCAGCAGGGCTTCTTCAACCGCACTGGCGCCCACGGCGCCTCCCAGCACAACCACTTCCTCATCCTGGAGGGCGCCCACCTGAACGGCGAGTTCGCCCCCTCGCGTGGTGAGCGTGCCGCCCTCCTTAGGTGGAGGAGGCTGGCGGCCACCGAGGGGAGCAAGATCATCGTGTTCGGCTCCCACAGGGAGTACCTCTTCTGAGAGGGGGGGAGGAGGAGGCCCCCCCCTCGACGGCAGAGTCGATATCCGAAGGATCCGAAGGAGGAGGAGGAGGAAAAGAAGGAGAGCGAGGGCGGCGTCTGACAGACACTTGCGTCTTCAGCTACTCGGCTACCGAGGAGGAAGAGGAGGAGGAGGTGGAGGAGGAGGCGTGGTGTAGTACAACATAGGCGACGAGCGCCAGAAGGACGACACCTCGGAGTAAGCGGTGCAACGTTTTGTACTGCAACATGGGCAGGATATCAATACCTCAGGTACGAACCCTCCCCCGAGGGTTCGGCTCCCATATACTGTAGGAGCTCGACGACAAGAAACTTCCCACATGAAACCCAACCCTGAGCACCAGGACGTCCATTGATTTTTGGTGTGGGAACGTCACGCTTTCCATAGCAAAGCCATCGAGGCACAAAAAAACAAGGGCACCCTGGAGGCAAGCAGGGTGTCTCTTGGCATGGGCTTCCACTGTATGTAAATACGGCGTGAAGCTCTACGTCATACCCGTCGCCTAGGTGCATTGAGAAAAAGCTACATCATCATCTGAGAGTCCGCCTCCCGACTCCAACCTCTCCCACGCATACCAGGATCAGGACGATCCCCAGGAGATGTGTGTCTAAATTAACGTCAAGCAACTAGAGGATCAAGGACTTCAACGGCTACTGCAACAACTTACATCCTTGTATGTACGCTGCGGGGCAACAGGGATACCAGTGGATCGCATCATGGTTACATTGGATGTAACACTACGCTGTCACACACGTAATGCAGTGGCACTAAAAAATGCCAAGCACCCCTGCCTGTCACACACCGATACTACGAATTAAGGTACTGACGCACACGACCGCCTTGCGCACCACGATGTTCACATTGTTTGTCGTGGATACTGCGCCGTCAGAGTACTTACTGCGGCTATCGGCTCTAACCTACATATCACGAAGACATGGAACAACGTCTCCGGTGCATGCTACACGTTACCATGAGCAGAACTGCAGGTACGCACCCGCAGGTTACCCATACATACCAAGAGGGCTACTAGACCTTCCATAAGAGAACAAATGGGTACAACTGATGTGCAGGACGCAAGTCGGCTACAACGAAGACACATACTTCGGGATCGCGGACGTCAAACAGGCCCTACGCCACGACCTGAAGTACACCAACGACTACGCCATCAATGTGCACAAAGCCAAGTGCGGAGAGGCGAAGTACGACGTGCAGCCAGCAAACGGACCTGAACGACCGCACCACCCCCAAGTACCACCTACTCCACTTGGACAGGGATACTTGCTACCTACGAGTGCGTACCCCACAATCGAAACGACCCACTGGCCAAAGGCGGGAAGCTCCACCGACAGCCACCGCTTACAAGTGGATCCAATACTACATCGAGATCATGGGGCCAGGCGGGGACGATATCGACCACGGATACTGAAGGAACAACAGCCTACGATCCCACGCAACGGGTACTAAACGGCAGCCAGAACCCGACACCGATCTCGAAAGCCACGCCAAGACACTGCATAGCGATACCTCGCCGTATAACCTCGCCTACAGCGTTATTGACAAGGGCACGCAAGTTTAAGCACATCACTACTTACATTATACCGCGACCCCACTTAAGCGCTTCAGGGACGATGCGCGGGTACTCCTCTCTTCCGGTTTCCCCCTCTTCCCCCTACGTATGTCGGGGCTTCAGGTGGACAGGACGGTACGGTGGTTTTTTCTCTCTCTCTCTCTCTTTCTCTCTCTCTCTCTCTCTCTCTCTCTCTCTATATATATACATATATATACATATATATATATATACATATATATATATAGATCCACTCCACCACTCCTGAGGGGCAGAGACACGGGGGGATTGGCACAGGGAGGGGCACATCGACCTGGAATCGGCGACAAATCGACGATAGATCGGCGATAAGGCCCCGAATGTGAATCCGCATGTTCTTGGGCAGGTTGGGGTTATCTGTCCCATCGGCGACTGATGGGCGGTTGGGGGTCGATCCACCCCTCCATGCTTATCACTCCTCATCGTTGCTCCCGACCTCCTACCCGGAAACCGAAACCCCGGTTGCTACCGGGGGGCTGCCGCGGCCGCGGCGACGGACGCGTGCGCGCGCGCCCGCGCGGGCGAGCACGGGCTCGGGGACTCGCGGAGCCGAGCTGCGGCGCAGGGGGGGGGAGGGAACGAGGAGGAGGGGAGGGAAGGGAAGAGAGAAGGAGGAGGAGGAAGTGGATGATGATGAGGAGGACGAGATCCTTGCTAGGAGCACCAGACGCAAGCAGCCGAACGGGAACTGCGTAGTTGGATTGAAAAATTACAACGACCCCAATCATCGCCGCCCCTCGAGACAATGGGGGGCAAAAGCATGGGCGGCACTATGCCGCATTTCCCCCTTCTCAGCCAAACTCGCGACCCCAGTCACGAACGCCGCACTTCACGGGTGCGACATATGGTCCAAAACGCACAGCTCCACGCTCGCCGAGGAGCTCCACAGGCGCGGCCTTTTCAGACTGGAGGAACAAAAACAGCAGCCCCCCTTCCTCCACGCGCAAGGGGCGGCCAGCATGTCCGACTCCTGGCTCCAGGCGAAAAAGGGAAGAGTTCATGCCCAAGCCATTGAAAACTGCCGATCCAAAGGCGGACGTCAAGAGTTAGAAGGAAGAAGAAAAACGACCTTCCTCGCACTCCCCACCTCACTCTCGAGCTCCCCCTCCTCCCCCGCGGCGGGCCCTGCGCCACCGTCAGCAGGAGCGCTCGGCGGCGGTTGGACAGGCGCGGGCGGACGGGTTGGGCGAAGGGCAACGGGCTCCCGAGACGGGCGAAGACGCGCGTCGCCGTCTTGAGAATGACCTTGCCGCACACCCGACAACGCCAGCCCATGGGACTAGCCTCGGAAGGATAGACAGCTTCCGCCGCCGACTGCGCTCGCCTTCTCGCCCTGCGGATGGACGGGGGGGACAAGGACGACCACGACCTCTTCCTCTCTCTCTCTCTCTCTCTCTCTCTCTCTCTCTCTCTCTCTCTCTCTCTCTCTCTCTCTCTCTCTCTGTCTCTCTATATTTTTTTCTCTCTCTCTCTCTCTCTCTCTCTCTCTCTCTCTCTCTCTCTCTCTCTCTCTCTCTCTCTCTCTCTCTCTCTCTCTCCCACCCCAGGGCGCGGCCGCAGCGGGTCAGAGCCCGCCACGGACGCGCGCACGCACACGCAAGGCATGCCGCCCTCACAGCGACTGGCCTGGCATCAGGAAGGCCCGCCCCAGCAGGCCGCAGGCGGCCGCGCGCAGGCACGCGGCCGAGCAGGACCTGGGCCCAGCGAGGCTGCGCCCAGGAGGTAGCGGCGCGCCAGGCGCGCGGCCGAGGGGCCCGCAGGGCCAGCGGGCAGCCCGCCAGCAGCAGCGACCCCGAGATCATCCGAGCGGCCGCCCAGTGTACGGGTCCTTGCCGCTCAGCAGACGGCCCAGGTAGAGCCTCTTCTTCTTCTCCCCAGCCGTGGCCTGCGGCCCTAGCAGCAAGCGGCCGCCGCACTCCGCCTTCAGGCCCTTGGCGCGGTCCACGCCCTTCAGCTGCGCGAAGGCCCCGCACTTGCAGCAGAAAGCATACTGCCCCGCCGTTCGCAGGCCGTGCCATAGGTGCACCTCGGCTAGCTGCACCTCTCCACGCGGCGGGCGGGGATCTTCCACCCGCTCAGGGCTCCTCGAGCGCTGGGCACCACGGGCATCCCCACTCGGCCCCTGCCCACCACCGCCGCGCTCGCTGGGCCCAGCAGCCGCTGCAGCCGCCGCCGCCAAGGCGCAGGCAGCCGCCGCGGGGAGGCCCCCCGACCCGCGGGCAGCCGCAGCTTCGCCTCCTCCGTCAGCCAGCACAGGGTCGTCGCCCCCCACAGCATCGGCAACGCCTCGAACTCCATGATCCGCCCCCTCTGGCTGCGTCGGCGGTGCCTGAACCGCTGCGGCCGCAGGCGGGGGCGGAGGCAGCCCAGACGGCGCCGCATCGGGGTGCGGCCAGTCGCCCGCGCCGTCGCTGTCGCTGCCCAGGGCATCAGGCCCGCCCTGCATCGCGTTCACTAGCGGCAGCTGCGGGTTGTGCCAAGTGCCTGGCCACGACCGCCGCAATGCCTCGACCCCTCGGCCGCGAAGGCCCCGGGGCCGCGGCAAGCCAGCTTGGCGGGATGGCTGCCCGCTGGAGCCAGCGGGGCCCAGGCCAGGCAGGGCACCAGCGAAGCCAGGCAGAGCGGGCAGGTTGACCACCGCCTCGCCGATGACGTCCTCCATGGTGCAGCAGACGTCGTCCAGCGTGGCCGACTGCATGGCGGCTACGTGCAGCCACTCCCCCAGGGTCTCCAGGCTCATCAGGTGCCCCACTGCGATGCGCCGCACGTCCGCTTTCAAGAGCCACGCTTGCCTGACCATCGCCTGGACCAGCGCCCGCAAGCCTATGGAGCCTGCACGCCTCGAAACCACTGCCCTCGTATCCACATTGTCGGGCCTGGCCAGCCATGCGAGGGCATACTGCGCCGCCCATGCCATCCAGGAGTCCTCCGCGGCCTCCGAGTCGCACAGGTCGAACACCCAGCAGCTCGCGAAGGCCCTCTGCATGCTGCACAGAACCTCCAGGCCGATCGCTGCGCCGGGGTCGGGGCTGCCGCTGCGCTCGGCCTCGTTGTGGACCACGGGTCGGCCCCGCGCTTGCGGAGAGCGGGACCTGCTGGCCGACCGCCCCGCACTGCGTCTGCGCCGCTGGGCGGGGTCGGCCCGCGGGCCCACTGGCCGCCGTGGCCCCTCCGCAACGCCTCCTTGGCCGCGGCAGCGCAAGCCCCTGCGGAGCAGCTCGGCCTCCCGCGGGGCCCTGCGGCTGGCTGGCTGGCACGGCCGCTCGTCCGAGACCTCGAGCGCCCTCGCCGCTGGGGTGCGCCGCTCTGCCGCCAACGGCCACTGCCTCCGCCATACGCTCCGCCCACGGGCTCGAAGAAGGTGAAGTAGAAAGGCCCGCGTCTGCCCCCAGCGCGCCGTGCGCTGCTACGGTCGCACAGGAAATCACTCGCCGCAGCGTGGTCGCCACGCAGCCGCTGGGGCTTGACTTGCCTGGCCTCGCCCTCCAGCTGGAGCGTCTCGTCGATGCGGGCATCCCTGAATGGCCCGCCGTCCCGCCAGCCTCTCTCGCAGAACTCCTCGGCCCGCCCCAGGCGCTCCGCGCTGCGCATCTCGTCGCTGTCATGCGCGAAGAAGCCGCGGTAGACCCCCTCGTCCAGCAGCCTGTAAACATACTCGACGCACTCCTCCATGCAGGACGCGTAAGCCAGGGCCTGGCCCATCAGATCGACGATCCAGGAGCTGCTAGCCAGCATGCCCAGGGCGGCCTCCAACGGCCCCGAGCGGCCCCACGCTTCGAAGGCGAAGAGATCGCTGCCCTCCTGCGGCCACACCAAGCCCACGCGTCGCGCAGCTCCGCCATGCTCGCGGCCTCGATCGGGGCGAGGTTCAGGTCGCCGTGTCCTCTGTGCCCGTGGCGGCCTAGTCGCCTCCACGTCGGCAGGGCCCGCAGCAGGGGCACCTTGGCCGCCCCCCGCAGGTAGTCAACCTTCTGCTGCATCGTCCACCTCTGGCCCTCTGCCGTGGTGGGCGCCCCGCTCATAGGCAGGAGCCCCTCCTCCTCCGGGCGCTCGGCCGCCTGCAGGCTCGCGCTGACAGCTGCTGAGCTCGCCAGCGGCCGCCCCTGACTGCAGCGGGCCCGCATCCTGCCCAGCTCCGTAGGCTGGCAGGGTCTGCAGTCCAGCAGCGTCCGTGCCTTGGCCGTGAAGGCCCCCCTCCACAGTGCACGCATTGCACCCCGCACGAGCTGGTGACTTGATACTCGTGCCTTGTGAGGCGAAGCTTTGGGGCAGCGGGCTCCCTCCAAACCTGTTGGCGCTGGAGTATCCCATCTTCCCGGGGGAGCCTCCACAGGTCCAGCTGGCAGATGCGCGCCGCCGCCCAGCCCAGGAACGTGGCCGTATCCAGGGCGCGCTGGAGCTCCGCGTGCAACGCCTCCACCGCGCCGTTGGGCAGCCTGGCCCCCTCCGCGCCGAGGTTGGCGAAGAAGTCCGCCCAGCAGTTCCCGAGCCAGCCCAGGGGCCGCAAGCCCTCGCCCAGCGCTTGCTGGAGGCTGCGGCGGGCGGGCACCCATCGGAAGCGCGGCGGCGGTCCCCCGCGCCTCGCTGCAGCCGCATGGAACTGGCGCCAGATGCTGGCGTGCCGTGCCCTGGCCGATTGCGCCATCGGGGACCAGTCGTTGCCCTCCGTGACCAGGGCCTGCAGGACGCTGACGATGACCTGGACGGAGCCCGCCTGCACCAGGGGCACTAGGCACGCTTGCCGCTCTGCCCTCCCCACCGTCAGGCGCGGCCCAGGCAGCGGCCCGCAGGCCGCCTTGAGGGGGGGCCCAATCAGGCCTGAGGGCAACCGCGGCCCACCCACACCTGCGCGCCTCAGGGGCACTGGAGGCGTGCCCTGAGCCATCCGTGTATACCACCGACGGCCAGCCCTCCTGCGCGGCGCCCCACTCGACGACCACGTTCTCCGACGGCGCAGGCGGCGGCATGGCTGGCAGCAGCGGCAGGCCGTACGCCAGCGACAGCTCGCTATCCCCGATGGTCCACTTCTGCTCGGCCTCCTCCAGCTGGTGGCGCATCTCCACAATCGGCATGCGGAACGGCTCCTGGTGCTCCAGCTCCTCACCCTGCGGCACCATGAGAGCAGGGCATACGCACCACCTGTGCATGAGCGTGTCCTTGGCTCCCCGCAGGCCTGGCACATGTCGGAGTCGGCGTATCCTCGCGCGTACCTCCAGGCGTTGGTGAAGTGCCCTCCTGCCCATACCGCTTGGATGGCACCCGGCTCCGCCGCGGGCCGCGCCTTGCACGCAATGGCGCGGACTGCCCTAGGCCAGAGGGTCTCGCCCTGGCCCTCGGGCAGGTGGCTGCACTGCCAGCGCTGGATGCCCTCCACCAGCGCGCCCTTGATGTCCCGAGGGGCCACCCGCAGCATGGACAGCGTCTCGCCCAGGTCGGTCTGCAGCGCCCACGCCGCTGTCATCGTCCAGCCGATGCGGCCGAGCGCGAGCCACGTGGCCCCGAGCGGGCCTTGCACCGAAGCCCATGACAATGCGCCCGCTCTCGCCGCCTAAGCTAGCTTGCCCCAGCTGGCGCTCAGGCTGGCCAGGGAGCCTCGGCCCTCCCAGACGCGGCTGGCCAGGCGCGTCACCAGCGGGATGGCGGCTGCATAGATCGGATCGTAGTCCACGCGCCGCTGCAACAGCATGACCGCGGCGGTACCACAGCCCGTCTTGGCACCCGCCGTGACCGCCGCCACCGTCCCCAGCTGTGCCAGCGGCCGATCCGCCAGGCCAGCCACGCCAGCGCCATGGCCAGCCGAAGGGACAGGCCCGCGGCTACCAGCGCCGCTGCCCGCCTCCCAGCGGCCCGAATGAGCATGGCCACCCGGCTGCGCCTGGCCGCGAGGGCCTGCAGGCGGCGCTTCTCATGTGTGCGGAGCACCTTCCGCCCGTGGAGCTCGCGCCCTAGGTTGCGCACCCAGAACTTCTCCGCGAGGCCCGCGCTCCGCATGGAGGTCGCCAGCAGCCGCGCCCTCTGCCCGGAGGAAGCCAGGCACCCCGACTTCTGCGGCTGCATGACTAGCTTGAGCTCCACCATGCTCAACGAGAAGCTCTTGAGCGCCTCGGACAGGCTGTCGCCAGGCACGCCACGTGGTCCGCTCCAGCCCAGGGTGGCGTCGTCCACCAGGCCACGCGGCGTCACCGACGGCGCAATGGAGTGCGCTCTCTGCAGCACACGGAGCGTGAGCACCAGCAGCAGCGAGCTGGCGTGGCCGCACCCTGCGATGTTCCCCTGCCAGGCCACGAAGAGGTCCGACGTGGTGTTGAACGCCGCCAGCGTTCTTGGCTGCCGATAGGTGATCAGCAGCATCCAGACCAGCCTCATAGGGAACCCCAGCGCTCGGGCCTCCACCAGCTGCGCCTCGGGCGCCACCAGCTCGTAGGCCTTCCAGACGACAACATGGGCCGAGTCCCTGCCGCCAAGGCGAGCCTGCTCAAAGGCCAGGTTCAGCTCGCACGCAGAGTCAGAGCTCGAGCGTCCAGGGCCCGTGCCCCAGACCAAGGCCGAGGGATGGACAAGCTCCCAGGCCTTGGTGATCGGCCTTCTGGCTCGGCCCCACACTCGCACCAAGGTCGGCATGAGGCCAATCAGCCTGCAGCCCCCGTCGGGCTTAGACAGCCTCACCATGGTGTTGATGAGGCGGCCGCTCGGCCACGCGAGGAGCTCCTCGCACGTGCGGTAGACCGCGATCATGGCGTGCAGGGCACCGTCGGAGAGATCCCCCAGCACCCTCGGCGGAATGCCCGACTGGCCCACCCCTGTGCGCCATGGGAAAGAACGCATCACATCGCGTACACCGTGCAGCTGCAGCGGCGGCAGCATGTCCCATGCATGCGCGTCGAGGGGAAGCTCCATGCTGGCGAGGCCGCGGTAGTTCCAGGTGTCGATCCACGGCTTCACCTCCCTGTCCACTAAGGCCGCCGAGCCTTCCTTCTGCAGCGCGGGTAGCACCTCCTGAAGCACAGGCACCTTGGAGGTCGCATGCGCCGCGCCAGCGCCGCCACGGAAGGCCTCGTCCACCCGCTCCTTCGAGCGGGCCTCGTCGGCTTGAACCAGCTTCCTCTGCTTCTCCTTCGCCTCAGCCAGCGCGCGCTTGAGGCCCCGCTCGAAGCCTGCCTCTGCCCAGTTGGCGTCGACTCGGAAAGGCAGTTGTGCCCGCGGCGGCAGGGCTCGCCAGTGAACATGGTCCTCGATGTCCGCCAGGAACATCTTGAGATGCGCCACGGTGGCCGCGATAGACTTCATGCACTCGTCCCTCGCCGCGACCGCCTCTCTGCCTTCTTCTTGCCTGTGGCTGCACAGTGCTGCCAGCAGCTTGCCTAGGCGGCCCCGTTTGCTGAGGAGCTCGGACGCCCACCCAGCCAGCGCCGCCCAGGCGTGGGCCTCTGGCCCCCGCAGCTTCTGCTTCTGGGGTGGCCTCCACTGCGCCATCTCCCATCTCAAGCCTGCCTGCAGCCCCCCCCCCCCACCCCACCCCCCCGCATGCCACGCCCTGCGAATGTGCGGCGGGCGGGCCCCACCAAGCCCCGCCCGTCGAGGATCCCCGCCTCGACCCCCTCCAGCAGCAGGTCCCAGATGATCTGCAGGCCTTGGTCGTCGCGCGCGGCCTGGACGCAGCGCATCACCTCCGTCCAGCGCCAGGGGCCACGGGCACAGCCAGGCTGGGCGGGCTCCCTGGGAACTGCCCCCGGCTCATCCAGCACCTGCTGACGCGTCTCCACCCGCAACGCCCGTAATGGCAGGTGGACAGGCCAGTGGGGCCACGCGCTGGCGCCCCTGTCCAGCCGCGGCGGCGCCGCCGCAAAGCAAGCCAGGCTCTTGGACACCACGAAATAATCAATCTTGGAGCAGCTGCCCTGCCTGCAGGTGGGGGCGTCAGCGACCCGAATCTGCGCACGCAGCTTGCGGATCCAACCGAAGTCCAGGACGTCCGCCTCCATGTTCCAGTCTCCCATGACCGCCCAGTGGTAGCCCTCCGCCTCCAGCACGCCGAGGTACTGGGCCAGCTGCCAAAAGATGCCTAGGTTGTTCGCCGAGAGGCCCTCCCCGTCGCGTAGGTACACGCTCAGCACCACTACGCCCCCAAGGCCCCTGAGGTCCTGCTCGAACGTGCCCAGCGACCAGACGCCCAGGCACCAGCACGTACGAGTCGCGCCCAGGGGGGCCCGTCAACTGGATGCTGGCGGGGGCCAGCACCGCGACCCCGCCGATCGACCCAGTCGTCGAGGTAGGGGACGGCGTGGCGGCACTCCAGACTCCGTGCCAATCAGCATCCTTGGCCGCCCGCTGCTGCGTCGCCAGGACGCTTGCCGCACAGTGGTGCTCCTGCACGGCCAGTGCCAGGGTCGCCTAGCCATCAGCCTGGAGGAGGCACTCGTTTAAGGGCCCCCGTGACGTCACGTTAGCGGTGGCCAGGCAGCAGCCTCCTCTGACCATGGGCGCGCGCTTGCCCACGCGGCCCCGAGGTGGGCCTGCAGCTCCTGGCAGCTGGCCAGGCAGGGCTGGGGCCCGCGGGAGGGCGGCGCCGCCCCGCGGCTGGGGGCGCGGAGCGAGCGGGGTGCTCGAGCTCCGCATAGGGCGCGCAGGACCGACTGCATCGCCTACCGAGGCAGGGTCTCGGGGCCTGCAGTCTCCCTGGCATACAGGACGGCCGAACTCCTCGAACAACTGGTTGCCCTCCTCCAACGAGTCGCCGAAGGCGGAGTCCGTGCGGGGGGGAGGCTGCGACTTCGAGGGGCTGAATCCCTCCGCCTCGCCCCCTGAGCCGTACCCTGAGGCCGACACCCGTGGTTGCCAGTCAGGAGACCCCACCTGGTCAACCGCCTCTGACATCCTGGGGCCGCACCCTTGATGGCCGAACACCCCCATCAGCCCAGAGTGGGTCTGAAGATCCACACACACACACACACACACACACACACACACACACACACACACACACACACACACACACACACACACACACACACACACCACACACACACCCCACCCCACCCCACCCCACCCCCACCCCACCCCACCACCCACCCCACCCACCCCACCACCCCCACCCCCCCCCACCCCACCCCACCCCAGCGAGATCACCTCCAGGAAGGTGCACGCCATAACCTGAGGCCGACACCTGCACCACCTCCGCGTGCTGCAGCCCCAGCGCCGCGCCACCAACAGCCGCTGCCGCCCCGCGCCCCGGTCGCGCCTGGCCCCCCTGGCTTGGGCAGCCGTCAGCCCCCCAGTAGTCGCAGGCGCCCAAAGCACGGGCAGCCTGCTCGTCGGCTGCGTTCAACTCGTTGCAGTCGGCCTCTCCATTGCCACTGCTGCCCGCCACGGCGCCTGCGCGGCCCTCAGGCCGAAGTGCGCGCCCGCCTGGGCGGCAGCAGGTCCAAGTCGGCGTAGAACCGCTTGAAGGCTTCGCGCACATCATCGTCAGCAGGACGACCAGTGCCCTCGGCCCCAGCTGGGGCGGCCCCCACCTTCGTGAGGAAGTTGAGCTGCGTGTCGACGTCCAGCTCCTCATCGCCCATGGCATCGCTGCCTGCAGGGACCCCTTCCCCAGGGATCGGGGCACGCACCCGCTCGGCCGCCTTGGCGGCAGCAGCCGCTGCAGCCTCAGCAGCACTGGCCTCTCGGCGCTGCTGCTCAAACTTGGTCGCCTGCTCCAGCAGCGACGCATGCAGGGCCCCTTCGACCCCGATCGAGCGAAGCACCTTGCCCGGGAAGTCGGCGGAGAACGCGAGGCCCTCGACCCCGATCTCCCCCTCCAGGCCGTCACGCAGCTCAGTAGGGGGCTGAGCCAACTTGCCCGGCGTGCGAGCCTGCTCCGCCCTGAGCTCGACCAGCTTCGCCTCCCGCTCGACGTCCGCCAGGCGCGGCGCTTCGGCCTTGACCTCGAGGTCCTTCTGCTGCGCCGCCACTGCCGCCATCTCCCCACGGCCCTTCTCCTGCTGCTTCTCCAGCTTCTTGATCTGGTCCGCGAGGCTCTTGAGCTGCACGTCCTTGGGCTTAGCCTGGAAGACCTCTTGGCGCAGCTGCTCACGCTCCGCCTCGAGCTCGGCCTTCCTGCTGCGGGCGGCCTCCACGAGGTCGCCCACCTCGTCCCCCATGTCCGCCCAGCGCCGAATCTCGCCCAGCTGCTTGTCCAGCTGCTCCAAGCGCTGGCGCTTCTCGCCCCCCGCAGCTGTGCCCTCACGCCAGGGGGGCGCGCCGCCTCCAGGCACGGAGCCCCCTCCTGCCCCAGGCTGGCCCGCCGCCGCCTGGAGCTTCTTGAGCTCACCCAGCGCCTGGGCGAGCTTGACCTCGGCGTTGTTCCGAGAGGGCGCAGCCTGCACCGGCTTCCCGCCAAAGTGGCAGCTCTTGGGCATGTAGAACCACTTGCACTGCATGCGGCCCCCGAAGTTGAGCTTCCTGAAGCCCCTGGCGCCAGGCGTACTGCAAGACTTGCAGTACCAGGGGCTTTTGGCAGGCGCCTTGGCCGCTGCCCCAGACTCGCCACTGCGGGGCCCGCCGCCAGGCCCCCCTGACTTCCCAGACTTGCCGCTGCCGCCTCCGCCGCGCGCCCCGCCGCCAGCGCTGCCCCCAGCCATGGCAATCGCCCTCGGAACGAAGGCACCCCTAGCACAGCAAAGAGGAGCGACGCGGCCGCCGCCCGCCGCGGCCGCGAGCGCTGGCAGGGAAAGCACTGTTTCTCAGGGCAACGAAGGACGGCGGCAACAACCTGAAAAATAAACGCGCTCCTCAACAAGATCGATTCCACATCGGCTACAAGGTCTTAGACACGCACACATCCACACCGATGGATTTGACGTTCCTCCGCTGCGTTCTCGGCGAGGCCGCCAGCTACAGCACTCACGAAGATCGCACCCGGAGCAACCGAGGCTGAGAAGCGGGCGAACTTCTCGCCATCGCCCACCAGTGCGGGGGGATGCCGCAGGTCGAATTGACCCGTCCGATGGCGCAACGCTTCGCTGCCTTTCGCAACGCACGCGCGTGGTTGGCATGGGCATGCAATAGTGTTGCATCGCTCGACGGATCGACGGCCCTTTCGCACTCCAGGATCGTCAAAAGCTCAGTCCTCGACCCCGACTGCTCAGGGCTGTCGACCTGTCCCCACGAAGAGCGGCCTTCCTCCAGACAGAAGCGCCCATGGAGGCTTCGAGGGCATCTAAGATGCGGGAGGGCGGGGCCCTGCCAATATCTCTCAGGCCCCGATCGCTCTGGCCGCCAGGCTCGACCAACATGTCAGTAGGCGGGCAACGCCGTCCCAGGGACGTGAGAGAGGCCTGGAAAGCGCCCAGCGGGCCCCTGACCATCCGCCAACATTTCTCGGCCCGATCCAGCGAGGCCCGCCACTGCGCACCCACGCCACTGACGAGCACGGGGGAACGAAACACACAGGCAAACCAAGCGATCCGCCTGCGCGCGCGCATTCTCGCCGGGCCCCTTCTGGCCCCAGAGCTAATTCGGATCGCCGTTGTCGCGCGCGCGACCCGCCTCGGGGACTCGCTTGCAAGCCCGGCCCGGCCTCGGACTTGCTCCTGCATCGCGAGCGAGAGCCCGCGAACCTCAGGGGCCAGCGCCGCCTTCGGAGAAAGGCTCGCGACGAAAAGCTCGGAAACTGTGCGGGGGGTTCGCGACGGACCCGGAATGCCAGCGGCCGCACAGCGGCCCTTGTTCAACCTTAAACGCCGCACCTTCACAGACCGCGCGGCACCCATGGCCGCGTCGTGCCCTGAGTCTATGGCAGCGACGGGGCGCTTGAAGTCGGCGGCATCTACATCAACCTCTCTAGCCCACTAGGGCAATTGAGCTCTAACTTGGGCCGACGAGGCCACTAAACAGCACTCGGACAAAGCGAGCGCGCATTTCCCGCGACGAAGGCCCTGGGGAAGCGCCCCCAGGACCAGGGGGGGGCCCGTGCTGGTCGAGCGCTCGGACCCACGAGTAAGCCGAAAGGAAGCATCATCCACCCACTCCCTCAGCCGCAACCCAGGGACAGACTGGTCGGCGCCGCGGAGCGGCTCATACAGATGCGCCCTGGAACGGGACACAGCTTCTCCGCGCGCCGCCAACATCCTCCCCAGGAAGCAAGCCTGGGCGGACCTCATGCCGGAGGGTGGGAAGCCCGGGCCCCAGGCACACGCCCAGGGCAAAAACGACGCGGCGATGGGAGCAGCGGAGGTCGAAGGACGCCTGGGCCATTTCAGGGAGGCAAGCCATATCGCACAATCTCCTAATGTCCTTGGTCTCCAGCTCGTCTAGCCAGCCTGCGTGCTCGGCCGAGGTCCCCGCAGTCTTGCCCCGCGGGCCGCTGGCGACCATATCTCGAGCACCAACCACTGGCTTGCGAATACGACAGAGGAACAGCAGAAATTGAGAAAGGCGAGCGCAAGCCTCCGTCCTCCTTGTCTAAGAGGGCTGTGAGATTACACGACTCCTGGATAGCGGCAGCGGCCTCGCGCTCGATGGAAGACAGCAGCACCACAGCGGCCATGAGGGCCTGGGGGGCGCCTCCTAGACCAGGCGCGGCCGCATGCCGTCAGCGCCCTTACCTCGGCGGTCAGGCATGGTCTTGAGCTCGGCCTTACCTTGCATCGCCGAGATCGGCTCGGGGGGGGGTCATATCTGGCGGCCACTCTCCAAGGAGCCGGTGCATCACAAGCTTCCCCACTCGAGCGTTTACCCCAGATGGCCCCCCCGCGCCTCCGACTCGACATCCAGGGTCCGGCGGCAGGGGGACCTCGAAATATCAGAGCCTGCCTCGGACCCGCGGCTCCGACCGAGCCCTTCGACAGTCGGCGCGACTGCGAGACCGATCCCGCCAGGGCATCCGAAAGCCAGACCCCCCAGCGCCCGCGAGCCTCACTAGCAGCACGGCTGACCTCCCGCTTGCCCCTAGACTGCGCATCCCCACGCAGCTGCTGGAGAGACTAGAATCGCCGACCGCCTGGCCCAGTTCCCGAGGGCGGCCACCTCGCCCTCATCGGACAGGTCCAGGGCCCCGGGAACCTTCAAATCCCCAACGCCTCGGACGGTGCTCCAGAACTGCTTCGCGCGCCAACGCGGGGGGGCGGCCGCCTCTTCGGGGCCAGCGCCCGGGTCGCAA